TGGGAGGAGGTCTCAGTGGGAAAGAAGCTGGAATGAGGAATGTAGTTCTCTGCTTTGGTTACATTGGGGTCTCGCATTATGCCTCGATCAGCAACATTAAATCTGTCGGACTTCGTACACTACTTTCATCCCCACGAAACTTTTTAGGATCATTCGACCTCGACGATCCTCTCGAATCGATACCAATCCCTATACCGAATTGGAAAGACCGAATCCCGATTTGGGTCCGAAATATTCTTGCAGTTCACATTCTTGCACAAGGAGTAGTGCGGTATATACGAGATCTATATGTTAGGAGTCAAAAACGCGATCATGCAGCATCTACCCTGGGGGATCCTGAAGCAGCGAAAGGATCAGCAGATGGAGCCAATGATTCTTCCACTACAAACCCACAAACACCAGATAACGAAGTTACAAATTCATTACATGCTAGTCATACAGCCATTACAACCAGGAAAAAGAGAAAACAAAGCGCACAAGTCCGCATACAGCAACCTTTATGGGCAGCTTTAGCAAGTACAAAAATCGTCATGGTCAAAGAGTACGAGACGTCACACGCAGCTGCGGAATCGGCGGGTACAAATGCAACAGATGCTAGTAACCTTGGAAATGCACCTTTTAGTACCGAGCCAGATCGAATTTGGATTACCAATGTTGGGTCTGATGCGGTTTTATTTAGTACCAGTTATTTTCCCAAATTCACGATTCCCGATGAGAATCAAGATGATACGGAGGGATCAATTGTGAATTCGAGAATGCCCATTTTTGTAAGGGTCAATCAGGCACATTGGCAACCCACGAGAATGGAAGCTAGTACTAATCCTAGCTTACCCGCTGGAAAAAACACGTGCTGGGATGGAGAAATCTTTGGGCTTGCCCCTTCTAGCAGTTATGAGATTGAATTTTTCAATGTCGTTAACAACAAAGTCATTTTTTGCACCAGCGTCAAAACGCTTAATACACCATCGGATACTGCAGCTGCAACTTCCCTTTCGCCTCTCCCTCCACAAGTATCAGGACGACCAGGATCACCCAGTTCCACTATTCAACAATCAATTCGAGCATCCAAGACTAAACTGGAAGAAGAACGTAGCCGTCAGAAACGCGAACGTAAAGATCAACGCACGAAAATCCAGACACTTCGTAGAGAAATTGATAAGCTCTCACACATCATAGCCACGTCAGGTGGCAATGATGAAAAACAACGTCAAAAAATTCAACAAGCCACCCTTCAGATTAGACAAGCAGAAGAAGCCATTACTTCCATTCAAGCTGATATTGAAATTGCCGATCGATTACCTTCAGCATCAAAGGATTCCGAGTATATTTCGGCAAAGCAAAAGTATCGAACACAAAAAGACCTCTACGAGAAAGCTAAATCAGACTTCATCACGAAAAAGAAGGAGAATGAAAAGCCAATCGCAGCTTTGAGTGCTGAACTTCTCAACAAAGAACGACAATCCGAGAAATTGGAAGCTAGATCTATTAAACTTACTCATCAAGCAGATGATCTCCGTGAAGCTAACACAAAAGGGTTGAATGAAGTTCAACGTAAGGAGAAGCAACGGAAGGATAAAGATGATGAGAGAAAGATGGTTCAGGCTAATTGGGATAAGTATAACGTGGAGGCGCAAATGCAACTCCAACGATATACTGATGATCTCACCATGCTTTACCCCTACATCGATCAATACACTATGGCTTTACAACAGCAGCATCAACAAGAAACGAATCAATTATACGCCAATTCCCCGTGGACAACGGCAGGTGAAAGTTCAATGTCCGCATTTCCCGCATACGCTCCAATCTCGAATATGGCACCGGCTATGCCTCAAATGGGTGGCTTAATGACAATGTCACAAACCACAAGACAAAGAGGTAGAAGCTCGAGTATGTTAAGTAACGAGAGTGGATTTACCCAAGGTCCGGATTCAGACGAAGAACATATTCCTTTTTATGGACCACATCTTCAATCACAATCCCAACCTCACTACTCTCCATACAATACCAATCAATCACCGAGTCCATTCGCTCCCGCATACCGAAATACATCAACAACGATCTCTCAATTTCAACAGAATGAATCATTGAATTGGCCACCAACTCGCAAGGGTAGTGGATCAGGTGATGTAGATGCATCGGGGAGTAGAAGTGGAAGTGAGAGAGATAGTATTGGGGATCCAAAAAGTCCACTGAATGAAAAGAGTCAGTTACCGTTGCCTATTGGAGCGGGATCAGGCTTTGGAATTGGAAGTGCGGGATCCAGGGGCTTGAGAGGGGTTTGGGATAATTGATTCGATTGATGCTGGTGGATTTTTTTTGCTGTGCTGGTGTTGTGTTCTAGTGTTGAAGGAAGCGAAATGGATTGAATTGGATTGGACAGCTCGGAGATGATATCGATGGGTTGGCTGACTAGTTTGATGATTTTGCGGCATGGCTAGAAATCTCAAGTGACGTGTGAAGTGGCGGTAGTGGGACTAACTGGTCAAAACTGGTGGTGTTGGAAGCGATATTGGCATAGCAGTAAAATTGAAGCTTGCAGTTTATTTTCTCTATACTTTGATTGATTTGATTTGCATGATGCGTTCATGATGTGTGAGTGTATTGTAATGCGATTATTTAATGTAATGTGTGATTCGATATGTAGTAGATCTCGAAAAGGAAAGTGGGGGAGCGGAGGTGGGGAGGGGTAATGGAGGGGGAAGGGTTTCTCGGATAGTTACTCGCTTGACCTTATTGCTTGGTTTTTCTTTTGGGTTTGGTTACCTAGGTTTGGTTTGGTTTGGAAGGAAAAGGGGAATGGAAATGGAAATGGAAATGGAAATGGAAATGGAAATGGAAATGGAAATGGAAATGGAAATGGAAATGGAAATGGAAATGGAAATGGAAATGGAAATGGAAGAGGAGAGGGGGGGGGAGGGAGAGAGGGGGGGGAGGGAGAGAGGGGGGAGGTAGGTGAGAGTAAGAAGGATAGATAGATAGGTTCTGATACTCTTTGGTTTTCTTTTCTTTTCTTGAGCGGTATGTATGGGATGGTGAGTGAGTGAGTGAGTGAGTGAGTGAGTGAGTGAGTGAGTGAGTGAGTGAGTGAGTGGGTAGTTGTTAGGTGGTTGGATAATTAGGTGGTTAGATGATTAGATAGGTAGGTAGGTAGGTAGATGAATGAATACTTGAGATTTTGCTTTTTGGGGAAGGGAGGGGAGATTGAGATTGAGATTGAGGTTGAAATTATGATTGTTTTTCCTTTCTCGAGATTGGTTGATTGATTGATAATAGGTAGGTATGATAGGTGGTAGTAATTCATGGTAATAATTCATGGTGATAGTGATGGTGATGGTGATTTCTTTGTGTAACCGGGTAGGTTGTTCTATTGTTCTGTTGTTCTTATATTCTTATATTTTTATATTTTTATCTTTTTATCTTTTTATCTTTTTATCTTTTTATCTTTTTATCTTTTTATCTTTTTATCTTTTTATCTTTTTATATTCTTATTTTCTTATATTTTTATATTCTTATATTCTTATATTCTTATATTCTTATATTCTTATATTCTTATATTCTTATATTCTTATATTCTTATATTCTTATATTCTTATATTCTTATATTCTTATATTCTTATATTCTTATATTCTTATGAGAGATTTGGGATAATATAGGATGGGATAGGATGGGAGATGAGGATAGATGTATGAGTTAATCCGTGGATAGATGAGAGTATATAAATGGGTATAAGTATAAATATACTAATTTGGTTGATGAATTGCTTATAGAGAAGAGGTATAATTCCCTTTCATCGGGGAATATCATCATCATAGTAATGTCATATGTCAGATGTAGGATGTTATGGTTTGATATAATGTAATGCGATGTAATGAGATATGGAATACATTTCTGGGCTCAATAGCTGATAGCTGACCTGCGTAGCTAGCTATGTGGCTCTGCGAGGGAGGGAGCAGACAGCTGGTAGATTGTATTGTGGGTAGGTATGAGCTTTGAAGATTTGGGGGGTTGGGTTTGTGCTGTGTGCTGTGTGTTGTGTTGAAATATAATGAGATGTAATGTTTTTCTTGTGAGTGAGTATTTTGTTATCATATAAATCGATGGATAGGTCTAGCTGTGATGACGAATTTGGTTGGATGGTTGATGGTTGGATCTTTGGTGGTTGGATCTTTGGTGGTTGGAGTGCTGTTCTGAAGGAGTGTATAGTTGAGTGAATGAAAGATGGAGATAGGGATGAGATATTGGCTAGGCGATGTAATTCTGATGTACATGCATATAATTAGATATCCGCACAAAGCGAACTTGAAGTAAAAGTGTGATAGAGTATTAATAAATTATTGTAGAGTAATATTTGAATCGAAGTATTATGTATATGATTTGAAGGATCTATGTTGTGTTTTTATTTACGTATTTTTAATCATGCATATCTTCTTTGAAAAATAAGTTTAGTTTGAAAAGCATCGATAATTTGTAATATGAGGAAGATTAGAAGATTGCAACTATTAACCCATCAATCCGTAACCCATTAACCATTAACCATTAACCCATTAACCCATTAACCCATTAACCCATTAACCCATTAACCCATTAACCCATTAACCCATTAACCCATTAACCCATTAACCCATTAACCATTAACCCATTAACCCATTAACCCATTAACCCATTAACCCATTAACCCAGTAACCCATTAACCCATTAACCCATTAACCCATTAACCCATTAACCCATTAACCCATTAACCCATTAACCCATTAACCCATTAAACCCATTAACCCATTAACTCATTAACCCATCAGTCCATCTTAAAGAAAATAAGAAATACGTCGAAATTGGCGTCAAGAAAAACACGTTGTTTAGTACCGAAAATATGTAGTTCTGTGTTCACGCGAGGGTGAAGACGTAGGTAAGAAGAGAGGAAGAATTGCGTGCGTATATGAGAGAGAGAGAGAGAGAGAGAGAGAGAGATTACTCTGCAGGTAGCGTTCACTCCTTGAACCTATCTTTGAGCTGTTGAAGTTGTCGTCAATGAAGGAAGAGACCAGAATGCATCTACTCCTTCATCTCTGAAAGCACCACCGTGTGAGTCGAATTTGGGTTCGGGGTAGGGGGAAGCGGTAGACACAACTCCAGAGTACTCTGTACCTATCGTAAAACCTAAATTCTTACTTCTTTTTATCCGTTGTTTCTTTTCTTCTTTCTCCATCCAGCTAGCTTCTTCCTGCCTTTGATTAGCTTCTGCTTGCTCCCTCAAACGAGCTTCTTCCTGCCTTTGAGCAGCTTTTACTTTTTCCTCTCTTTGGGATTCCCTCTGATCAGCTTCTTCTTGCTTCCTCCAGCAAGCTTCTTACTCCCTCAAGTGAGCTTCTTTTTGTCTTTGAGCAGCTTTTGCTTTTTCCTCTCTCCAGGATTCCCTCTGAGCAGCTTCTTCTTGCTTCCTCCAGCGAGCTTCTTGCTCCCTCAAGTGAGCTTCTTTTTGTCTTTGAGCAGCTTTTGCTTTTTCCTCTTTCAGAATTCTTTCCCTCTGGAATCTTTCCCTTTGAGCAGCTTCTTCTTGCTTCCTCCAGCGAGCTTCTTGCTCCCTCAAGTGAGCTTCTTTTTGTCTTTGAGCAGCTTTTGCTTTTTCCTCTTTCAGAATTCTTTCCCTCTGGAATCTTTCCCTTTGAGCAGCTTCTTCTTGCTTCCTCCAGCGAGCTTCTTGCTCCCTCAAGCGAGCTTCTTCCTGCCTTTGAACAGCTTTTGCATTTTCCTCTCTCCAGAATTCCCTCTGAGCAGTTTCTAGTTGTTCTTTTAAGCGAGCTTCTTCCTGAGCAGCTTTTGCTTTTTCCTCTTTCAGAATTCTTTCCCTCTGGAATCTTTCCCTCCGAGCAGCTTCTTTCCGAAGAAGCACCCTTTGGTGGTTTTGAAAGATTCTTTCACGGGTTTGGATCCTTTGACGCCACTCATAAGTATCGCTACCAGTATCACGACGAAGACGCGAGGTAGATTCATGCAAAGCCATAAGACCTATCTCTCCATATTTCCCTTTCAAAACTTTCTCCGAAAGCCAGGGAGGCCTTTCAATCCGTTCAACCTCGCCCAATTTCGTTGCATATACCCTAAAACGCCTCCGATCATTTCCATTGTAAATTCTGTCTTATTCTCGTCGAAGCGATCGAACGTGTTAAAGGCGTCTAAGAAGTCTGCAATCCCTTCATGTATATGAGTCCCACTAAAAAAAATCTTCCTTTCCATGCTTCGTTGCTGTTCATGACGCCATACGCCACCAGCAACCCAAAGGAATAAGGCGTGAGCCTTATTGCTCCAATGTGAGTATGGCATAGCAAACAATAAAGAAGCGCCTTTCTGATCTTAATGCGGCGAAGAAAGTACCGAAGTGTAAATCGTGTCAAAATAGTGTTCTTAATGTTGTATTAATAGTATCAAATCCCAGATGTTGTCGAATGTGTATGTGGAATGTGTATGTCGAATGTGTATGTCGAATGTGTATGTCGAATGTGTATGTCGAATGTGTATGTCGAATGTGTATGTCGAATGTGTATGTAGAATGTGTATGTAGAATGTGTATGTAGAATGTGTATGTCGAATATAAAAACAAAAGGAAAAGAAAGCAGAACGGGAACTCAAACCTATTTGAGCACGTTTGCTGGGGCATAATGAGTGTACGTGACAGTCATTTGCAAGATCATATTCACGATCTTTCTGAGTATTTTGTATGAGTGTTCGTTGAAAGTTTGATAAAATTCATGAGTGTGCACTTGGAACCTCGATATGATCTATGAATATATCTCAAATTGATGATGAGAATTGTGAGTGTGCAAAAATTTGTTGATGAGAGGTATGAGTGTCGACTAGAATCTGATAAATTGTATGAATATACCTCAAATAGTTGATGATTTGTATGACTTTCTACCAAAGTGTTGGTAAGAGCATAATTGTCCACTGGAACGCCAATACATCGTGTAAGATTTCATCAAATTGTTGATAAAATCTGTAAGTATGTACAGAGTCACTAACAAAATGTAAATATCCCTCCAAAGGGTAGAGATGTATTTGTAAGTGTACATAGAATTGATAATAAAATTTATGATAATGTATTGAATCACCATCAGTTTCTTCGAAATTCTCCCGGTAAGGATTTACTCGGAAAAGCTGATGTGAGTTCACCACCATTTCTCACACAAAACTCTTGAGGGGTCTATCCCAGGAAGATTTCGAATATAAGAAACCATGGAATCAGTCATAGTGGGCGGTCCACATATATAAACTATCGTTCGTGATCTCTCCTCCATTGTTCCTAACGCAAGGTCGATATCCTTGTTGGATATTCTTCGATGATGGGTTTCAATGTTTGATTTTGCGTTTGTCTTCAAAAGCTCGGTAGTGTTGTGGGGGGAGCTGGTGGCAAAAAGCTGAAAATCCCATTGCTCCCTCTCTTTGAAGATTTCTTGTAAACGATCGAGGAACAATGTTGCTTCTTCTGCCTCTCCTTCTCTTCGCTCGTCTTCTGCTGGAGTGGAAGTCGGTACCTTGGTACTGTAGAGGAATTTTACCTTAAGATTCTCGCATCTATCTTCCTTCTCACTTCCTTCAGTTTCATCATCTCCTTCTTTACCTTGTGCCTTCTTCCCTTCCCTCCTTTCGTTCTCTCCCAATTCTGCATGAATACAAGAGATCATACTCATTAAAGGATTGATACCCATTCCACCTGCTATAAACACCACCCTGTTTCCATTTTCTACCCGCTCCTTCCGATACCCTTTGCCTCCCTTCTCATCCCAAAAAGAAGGGGGCCAGGTAAATGACCCTCCAATTCTAACCGCCACTCCTTTTCCAAGAATTTCTGATGAAGGCTGAAATAACCAGGCTACCTGTTCACTTATTTTCCCCCCAGAATTTAGTTTTAAGATGGGCTTTTGTATTGCTAACTCGATACCCCTTTCTTTCTCTTCTTTTAAGTCATCAATAGAAGGGGAAGATTGAGAAGGAGGAAGATTCACAATGCTAAAACCCCCAGGTCTCTGTATTCCAGGGAGATAGAGATCGATCCATTGTCCGGGTTTCCAGGTGAGGTGTTTGGGAGAGGAGTTAGATGCGGGATGAAGAGGTGAAAGATAAAAGAGGCGCGTGGTGGAGTTTATGCTTTCCACTTGTGTGAGGATGAAGTTATGAAGGGACTAGAGGAATGATTAATCAATATTCAAAAAAAGAATTCTGTTGGAGATGGGCCGCGATATTCAAATGAGAGGAGCTTGAAGAGAAGATAGAGAGTTTGGAACATATGAACATATGAATATATGATATACATACTTCATCCCTTGGCTCTGTTGCCGTCCGTTCTATGTGGCTCAGGTATTGCTCTATGTCTTTTCCATGTTTTCCCCCACCATCTGTTGTAATTGGCTCTCTTCCCATCTCTTTTCGATCAATGTTCTTCCCGCTCTTTTTCTTCTTCTTCAACTGAGAACCAAGTTTGTCCTCTCCCAGACTCGTGATCCTAGACCCCGAAGAGACACTCCGAAGGAAATCCAATCCAATATTTAGTGGCGGCTGTACTCTGGATTCTGATAACCTTATGGGTATTCTTCGTGGGTGCCGGAATAGATGATAACGAACAATTGGATTCATTTAATCGAAATTATCACTAGAAGCTCAGAAGAAATCAAGAGTTTACAGTCATAACGGGGTGTCGCTGTGTGGAAGCATGATGAGATGAAGTTGAGTTGAAGTAACGGGCTTAGTAAGCAGACCAGATTCTGCAGTCATAGATACAATCATGGTAATGTGATTACAATATGTGAATTCTGATTTTCCTTTTGCTACAGACAACTACGTGTGCTTTAATTATTCGGAAATTTCTCGATATATTGAGTACCAAAAAAAGATAATTTATAACGACATCAACTGGAATATCAAGAAGTCCACGGGTCCACGGTGATCGAGAATTGTGGCTGAATCATGGCCTAAGTTTGTTGTGGCTAATCATTACCACCGAGACCATCTCATCAATCTCAATCTCAACCTCAACCTCTCAACCTCTCTACCTCTTCAACTCTAAAACACATAAAATTATCTGCTAATAATCCCATTGATAGCAAACACTGAGTATTCCGAAACAACAAAAGCAGAATTCAAGCAAGAACGGCTGCCTCAGCAGGTTCATATACGTTGGTTGCGGATTGCATAGCTTTTACACATTAGGGTTCAGATACAAATTCGTTGTATATCATTCTAGTGATGAATCTGGTACCCGATATGCAGTTGAGAGTCTCGAACGGAAAGAAAGAAGTGGAAGCTAGAACTGGGAGCTGGGGGCGCTGAGAAGGGTTCTAGAACCCGATGAGGAATTGAGAATATGGGCTCGGTGAATGGGGGGATAGTAGTCGATATGGAGGTTCGGTGTTGGGAAATGCCTAGATGAAGAGGAGCAGAGAGTTCAATGTGGTCAAGATCTCGAAGGCGAATCAAGGGAGAGGAAATTTTCGATGGGTTCTGATCATACTTAAGAGGATATTTTCCTGAATCAGAGAGATGGACTTTATAGAGTGATGTACTGATACAATGCAAATCGGGACTTATATTTCTTCTAGTTTCCCGCTTGATCTTCAAATTTTGCACCGCTATCAAATGAGAATACAATGAATAAGATTAAACAATGTCTGTGCATTCACACCCCTTTCGAAAAAAAAAAGTATAAGGCGTACGTATTATACTCCCCTGATAGTGAAACAACGTTCGTGCATCTCTTAATCGGATCTAATTATCGTTTTCTTGACGAATCTGGTCCCGCTTTCTATTGCATTCAGCTGGTGGTTATCAATTGAATCATAGGATTTGACCTTGGCTTTTGTTTTTCTTCTAGAAGCAAGTGTTAAACAAATAAATATATTCTCAATATTCTGAAAAAGAAATAGTGATTTCGAGGGTAGATGCTGAGAAATGGTATACGGGCAGTATTCAATATGATTCGTGACGATAGTTATCTTCTCAAGGGTCCATCAATATCAAAAAGTAGTGAATCACTCTCAAATTTCAATTCATTCATTTGTTAATGTCAATATTAACATTACCGCACATTCATAACCCCGGCCGAACGTTGGAATACTTATAAACAACCACAGTGCCAGAAATATCTCTCAGACCATCGGTGTTAGAATCAACTTCCTCATCGAACCAAGAATACAAAACAGCACCAGAGACTACAAAATGACATACGCCGCCAAAGTCTTAGCAATCCCCGAACTCCTTGAACAGATCTTCTCCCACCTTCCTCTCCCCGATCTCATGATCCGTATCCAGAGCGTGAACAAGCATTTCTATACAATGATAACCACCTCTCCTCTCCTCCAACAGAAGCTGTTTTTCTCCTCAACCAGAAATCCATTTCTATCCAATCGTTCCAATACCATCATCCCCAATCCTCTCTTATACCCTTCGTTCCACGCCTACATCTCTTCTTCTCGCAAGGTATGGACCACGTCTCCGGATCTTCGGCCATTAGAGCTCGTTGAATTAGGAGTTGGAAGAAGGAATATGGTACGAAGGGGATTCAAGTGGGCAGATGCGAGCTGGAAAAATATGTTAGTGTGTCTACCACCGGTCAAGGAATTGACGATCCATTCAATGTTTGGGCCATGGGTCATAAAAAGCGAGACGGGAGTTCGGATGGGGATGTTGGATTGGAAATTGCTAAGGGATGTGTGGGAGAGTCTGGATGTGCAAGGGGAGAAGGGTATTTTGAGATGTGGAAATGCGGAGAGGTAAAGGTAGGGGTTTGAGTGCTTTCAGGGGGGTTCCGCGCTTTCCTGGAAAGAACTTCTTTGGAATGCTCGTTTAATGTTCACGCGCTTGGGAACGTTACCTGCTTATGAAAGGGAAATCAGCGAGTTCTGTTAAGGGAGCGATGTGAAAGAGCAAGTCTTCAGCGAGTAAAACTAGTTTCTGGTCGTATTGAGACAGTGTAGTACGATGCCTTGGGATAGAAAATTCGAGAAGTTACACTTGCACTCGATATTCAATAATTGTGTACATAGTATTGCCTGCTGGCAGGTAACAGCTGACAGCTGACATCAAGCGACGGGTATCAAAGGAGCGGCGATGTCATTCCAGATTCCGAGAAAGGTTAAAAAGTTTATATAAGATAGTATGAGATTTATAATCCATATTTGTCGTGAACAATTTACTAAGATTGACAACACCAATAACATACACTGTCCAATGATATGACGTTGTGAGACCTTGTTTCTCGTAGCATCAGGTGATAGCTTGCATGATATTTTCTTTTGTAAACACCACCTCGGCGCCACCCGTTTGTATAAAACCTCAGTTGAGTAATACCACATCGGGCATACCGGTATTAATTCGTTTTTAGAGAATAAAAACCGATGATTGCTCAAAAAATGTAGCTAAAAAGATAATACCGAGGTCGAAAAATAAACCGAGAATTATGTTTCAGTCTGTATGTTCCACTGCTACGTTACCATTCTATTATTGAATTCTCGATCTGCGTTATGTAGGTATCTACATACTCTAGCATCCAGAGAGTGTGTGGTTTCCCCACAGATTCATACAAAGTACACAGTCGTTGTGGTTTCCGTCGAAGAGCTTGGATCATTTGTTACACAAAGCTCGTATTTTGGGGTTCGTATTTGAAGAAAGGGCAATAGCTTGGCGCTGCATATGTAATCGAATACGATGGATCGTGCTTGCTGCACTGTAACATCATAACGACCTCGGAGGTTCTTTCTTTTTCTTGCCTTAAGTGTGTGTGGTTGTTTTTGGTATTAATTCAAGGTCGTCCGCTTGATGAAAGCCTTTCATTCATCACTGTTTTATCAACTTATCATCATCCACTTCCCATCAACATCTCATCAATTCTCAACCAGTATGCACTTCTCAAAACTTCTTGTCTTCTCCGCTGGAGCCATTACTGCAGTTCTAGCGGATCAATTCATGGTTCCCACTCCATGGTATGTCCAAAAAATCAGTATTGGAAACATTAGACACGGTACCGGCGGCTTGTAAGTTCTTTTCCCAAAGGCCTCTCCACCTTCAGATGTTAACTCGAGAAAATAGTTGGTCATTCAACTTGATTGACACACCCACTCCTGCCCCTCAAGGTCTCAATGTAACATGTAGTTATTCAAGTCCAACTACTTATGTATTCGCACTCGATGGTGCTCCAGTCGATGCACCCTGCAGTGGTAATCCCAATGTAACTTTCAGTCTATATCCTGATGGCGATCATTTTACATTCAATATCACGCATTTGTATGGAAATTGCGGAACGTAAGTTTTGGCCTGGTCTTTGAACTGCTGAAGCCGTAGACTAACAATCTTTGCAGTGAGGATAGCCCAACTCCAGTGAGCAAACTCATTTTCCCCCAAATAATGGTTGGGAAAATATCACTGACTTTTGACTTTTTAGTGCAACGACAGTGGAACTTGGAAATTCAGCTGGGATGATGTGAGAGGACAGGAATCTGATGTTCAGAATAACTTTGGACAGTCTGGAAGTTTTACCAGAGACTCCATTTCCATGTATCCAGTTCGAGCGATACCTAGCGAGAAATGCGAGTTCTGTTGATATTGCTTATAGTACGGGGTTTACCAAAGGCGATGAAATGCCTAGTGTACCAATGAGGCGAGTAAAAATAGAAGGATTGCATCAGGCTTAAAAATGGAGTAGCTTAGCATTGGCAAAACAAAATTTGGAATGAATAGAACTTATAATCAACAATCAAGCTGCTCACTTCCATTTAAGTGCCTTGAGATATCGGTAGCCGGAACATCTCGTTCATAAGCTTTACTCTACTAGCGATGAATGATTGAATTAAATAGAGCCCAGAGCTCAATACCACTGAGACAGTGGTGTATTGACATCAACTTGCAGTGATAGCATATAACAACGCACTGTGTTAAAGAATGCCTTCGTCATAACGGTTATGCCCAGCCACCACCAACTTATACAAAAGCTTCTTGAAAAGCAGCGGCCCAACCTAGCTTTGAAATGATGGTGAGGTGGCATTCTCATTACCAAAATTGGTCAAATCCTATCACGCATCGTCGAATTGATCATGATACCCATTGGAAACTCCGCCACAACCATCACAAGGGATAGATATTCCGTGTGAACACTTCCCGCAATCCTTGCAATGCCAGTCTCTCCAGTCGTTACATTCATCACAAACGGAACAATGGACAGTACTAGTAAATTCCTCCCATCCACCAGAGCAGAAAGAGAAATAATACCCACCATCCTCAACAAATGCCTTTTCGAATAACTTCATCCGAATAGGTTTCCTCTCTGCTTCAGTCTTTGCCTCGAGCCACTCTTCACCAAGCTGTTGTATTTCGGGGTCAGAACCATCGTAGAATACTGATCCTTGAGGCGCATCGTAATATTTCTTTTCATCGACTCCCATAATGTCACTTCTCAGTTCCTCTTGTGTAAATGCGGAATCGAGATCCAGATCAGGGCCTTGTGCTTTCATCCAACTCGCAAAACAGTTTGTAGCGCGAAGTCTCGATTCTCCGAAAAAGAGGGCAAATTTGTTCAGATAATTGGCACACGAAGCACATTTGCAGTTTGGGCCACAACTAAAAGAGTTCTTGGAGCATTCGCATCTACCATTTGTGCAACCAGTCTTACATGAACAGGAGAATGATGCGGTGATGCCGCGTTGTTTGAGCTGTGAAAATATTAGCAGGCTCTCAGGATGTTACGAAAACAGTCGCATCCTCACTTCCGTCACTCTTCTGTTTTTCTTCGAAGCTTCGTGTTCCAAGCCTGAACCTTCATCATCGCTATCTTCCAGATTGTTATAATCGCTGACAGCGCGATCCGCTTCGGAGATAGAGATAGGGTCCGGTTCAGGGTCTGATTCGGACGGAGCTTCATTCAGATGTTCCATCTTCTCATGCTCCAAATCTACCACATGAGCTATCTCGGGATGAGAAACATATGCTTGAACGAGAATGGTACGAAGCTGCGATTCGTTTAGATCGTGAACCAGCTTGTTTGCTCTGAATAAAGCAGCCATGGATGCTTGTGGATTTAATTCCATATCGTTGGCGGTCCTAGCAATTTCAGTAGATCCTTCTGTTAATGGTACTTCTTCCTCTGCCTTTCTTTTATTAAGTGAAGCCATTTGAAATTTAATTCTGGCAGATGTATAGCAAAATTGTTCGACGCAGGCGAATTAACACGAAGATTGTAGTTGATTTTTAGGTAAATTCTAGAGATGTGAAGACGCGTTTCGCATTTGTGAGGACACGCGAAAGCACGAGGATTTCCCGGTGCACAAAATCATGATGACTAAGCGTACCCCTCCTCTCAAAAGCAAAAAGGGGGGGCCTCTACGTAGGAGAAAAAACAGGCCGGAATTGATCACTTTTTAATACTTTCAATAAACCAAATTCTTCTCCTTTTCTAAAATAAAATAATTTTTTTGATAAGAATCAGTATAAATAAAAGATGATAAGTAATTTGATATTTTCAGATTTATTTGTTTTGTTTGTAGTTGATTTATAATTCAATTAATTCAAAGATTTCATTAAAGATTTTATGTGGTCAAAATCGGCCTCTTTTTTCTCCTACGTAGAGGGGGCTTCTTTGTGTGTTCGTCCTCACATCGATTCAAGAACATCCGAAGCCATATTCTTGACGTTGTCATCCACGAATGTATATAATCTTAAGGGTAAATTCAAAACTTGGTCATTTGTCAACGAGTCGTTCTCCTGTTGATTTTGGTAAGATGATAGGAAAAGCAGGAAAGGAAATGCTTCCAGTTTCTGATCTGTCACATTCCTATCCTTCTTCTCGCGCGTTCACGCGAGACGCGTTAAGTAATTACTTTTCTTATTCCATAGAAACATCTATATCTCCTTTCCATTCCTTCTTCTGTCTTCTATAATCGTTATTATTTCAATTGTATGTCACTTCCATTGTATTAGAATCTTTACAGTTATAGATATGGTATCCAGTCGATCAAAGGCCAGTGCACCTCAGAACTCAAAGAAACGAAAGGTTCGGTTCACTACACTCAGTACCAAACCCATTCAAGAGTTATTGCGGACCTTCAAGCCTTCCCAATTACGCGAAGTTATTGACGAGACATTGAATAATGGCAATATTGCCAAATGTATACGCGATATTCATGCTCGATCGTCACGAAAACTTCAGATTAGAGACCATTCAGAGCCATTGGTTGCGGCCCAAGTACCAGTTGATGATGAAGTGCTTGAGAGCATCGAAAAATCCCCAACAAAGTTGAGGCAGCATGCTCCCGTCTCAATACCAAAGGACTTGTCTATGACTGCCACTAATGGCAACTTACCCACTCCGAGAAGTTCCCAGGAACCTAAGGAGGTACGATGGCCTGCCTTCAAACTCGTGAGAACCCATCAACTAACACCATCTTATTAGATACCCATGACCCCCGAGCCTTGGATGACCCCCGAGCCACAACCCAATGCTCAACCATCTCCTCTTCCAGAGGCAGAACAATACATCCCTCCACCAGTTCAATTTACAACTTGTAATTGCCGGTCTGGATGCATTTCCACCCGCTGCAAATGTTTTAAATCCGGACGAGGCTGTTCGCCCTCTCCTTCCTCTGGCTGCAAATGCGATTCTTGCGCTAATATGCTCAACGACTTAACTGTCTTTTTCGGACCCCCCAAATCCTCTGATCCTCCTGTCTCGGCTAGTCCCGACTTTCTAAAATGGATTCGAAAAGAGTCGAGAAACGGAAGGTTCGATTTGATTCATCCGGATACAATAGAAGAGCTGAGAAGCATGTTGATGGGAGTGGAATATGGCGATATGACATCTCCACCCCAATTTCCCGTTTTCTCAGGAAAACTCAGAGGCATTGGAAAAGCATGGATGAGCTCTAACATCACGGATGAAGAGAGAGAAGATGTGAAGAGGGGGTTGTTTAAAGAGGCTTTCGGGGTCGCAGCACCAAAAGATACCAAGAATGATTATTGGTGCTTTTGTAAAAATGAATGGAAACAAACCATTTTGTGGGAGTTTTGTACAAAGTGCGACGAGTGTAGAGATACGAGGGAGTGGCATTGTGGAGAATGTGGGAATAGGAATATTGGGAATGGATGTGAGTGCCAGAAGGGTACTAAACGAAGGAAATTACTGAAAGGAGCTACTTGCGCAGTCATTATTCTTCAATAATATATGGAAGTGTGTTGGAGGGCAGGAATGTGGTCTTGGGAACGTAAATGATTGGAAAAGAAAGGATGTTAATTGATACAGCTGGGATCTGTAACTAAACGCCTTTGATGGCCTAGAGAATTTGATTGCTACTCTATTATTGAGATCCAGAGTTGGTGGTAAATGAACTGTTGATGAGTATTTAGAGGATATGGAAATTCAGGTGCTTGGTACTAACGAAGAGGAAGTGATATTAGCAGTGTCTTATCATTATTACCTTAGATGGACATAATCATGGGTTATATCCATTATGTGCCGTGAGATCTATCTATCCGGATCCTTTCCCTCCACACGAAAGAAATGTAGATTCTCAAAGCTATGCTCATGCCGAATATTCCATCCTTGTTTTCTGGAATCCTGTAGACAAAACCAAATATCATAAGTCACAGATCTGTAAACTCAAAAGTGTGTTGTTCATTTAGTTGACATCTTAATTGGAATGTATGTCGTAAACACGCATCCCTTCATCGGAAAAAGTACTTCGTATGTGCCCCTTCCTTCCCTCCATATCTCACTGATCTCCTTCCTCCTTCTTTTCTCTTTTGCACATTTCTTGCTTGACTACCGCTTTTATTGTAAATGAATGAACTTCAACTATACAAAACTCAAACTCCTTTAAACCTCATACTACATACTACATACCATATCATCCTCCGGAAAGAGAAGAACCCGTCAAGATTCAATTGTCAGGAACCACCAATTCATTATTGGGTTGTCGCTACTATTTAACTCGATACTTCTATAAACCTTTTATATACAAAGTCAATGAATTGTGGAAAGTGCTATTTGAAGTCTGACCATCGAGGCTTGAGAGGTTTGAATGATGTTTACACATAAATATCAATTACCGCTCATTCCTCTCCCAGGAAAGATCATTACTCCAAGCGATTCACAATTCGCATTGCGAGCTCAAAGATTTGAAAGTTCAATCTTCTATACCTTTAAAGATTTAAAGTGTTTTTTGCGTGCTTTGCAAACCTTAAAACGTCACCATGGAGAGGAGATGGGAGATAGAACAGTCCGCTAGGTCGAGCTGGCCCGGTGCAATATCAGCCTGATAATAGTTGTTGGTCGCCACATCATAAGGAAACATGAGAGCCATTCTCTGGCGAAGTAAGACACAAAGACCTTCCATTTATCGTCGTTGCCGTTGATATCAGAGCATTTCCATTGTCGAAAACTGGATCAATCAATCCGAGCACCGAGCATAGGACCCCACAGCCCGAACCTATCCCGAGATTCAGCAATGCGCAAAAAAATTATATATCTAAATAAGCTCCCGTAGCTCAACAACAAAGAAAAGTCTTCGTGGCTCAGTTGGTTAGAGCGTTGGTCTCATATTCTTATATGAGGTGGTTGTTAACAATCACTTTAGCCATCCAAAGGTCGAGAGTTCGAGTCTCTCCGAGGACAAATTGTTTTTGCCTTTGAGGGCTTTTTTGCAACTTGGTGGATTGAAATAAATGGATTTTGGGTGAACGGCGCGTGTAAGGTTGGTGGATATTTTATCGATTGGCGATGGAGAAAGAATTTGAACACAATTTTGGGGGGCCTCTGTGCTTCATACATTTTCCATATTTCGACATCCTCATTAATCAAAAAGACTCTATCACTCACTCACACCCGTCACTCGCTTTAATAACAGACTACTTATCTCACTCAATCAATCACCTACTTAAACAAATGCCGTGATCAATAGTTGAGTAAGCCATGTCTACCGGTCTACTGGTTTCAACTTTATAGACACAGCCCCAAAGTTCACGCACGGCATGAATACCACATCTACACTACCTTGATATTGCGAGTTTGAGATTAATACCAAAAATCTGGGTCACAATAAAGTTTGGTGAATCGTGAATTTTATTCGTTTGTGTCAGAAGGGGAGATCCTACATTTTAAGCGTCAGGGTTGCGACGGTAGTTGTGATGAACGAAAATGAACGAGCAGGGCATGGTAGGTTTATTATAAAGTAACGGAGGGACAGAAGGAGGATCGATTAAGAAATCCAAAATGCTTGTTTGGGGATGTGAATTCTTATTTTTGGGTGGGTTTTAGATTTGAGATTGATAGACATTTCTAGTTACGCAGACATTGATTTTAAATGAAATCATGATGATGATGATGATAGTGATGGATTTTCATTTACCCCTATTTTTCTAGTAGTGGTAGTGAGCAATGAGAACACGAAAGCCTCTCTTTCGTCAATCGGTAAAATCGCGTAATGGGATCGATATTACGATAATCCGCTCCCTACTTACTACTTAACTCTCCATCGTAAAGCACGAAGCATCTCAACCAAAGAATAGTGATGGGGTCTAGATTTTCGAATCTCCGTAGCTGATGTTTGCTAATGTTTTGAGTGGGGTTTACGATATGGGTTATATGGATGTCGCTGGTGGTGTCAGTGGGGTTTCTTAATTGGAGATGAAACGTCTCCCCCGCGGGTCTGAAATGGATGAAATGATTGGATTGAGAAAGAGAAAGGGAGAGAGGCAATCAGGAGAAGTCGTGTTTGGAAAAGGAAAGATCGAATCAAGATCGGCTTGCTATAAATATCTGAATACTGTCTGATTTGAGAGGTGTCAAGTTCGGATGTTCCATATCTTCTGATTCAGTTGTGATGTGGTGGTGTATTTAATCTCTGAGGCTTAGAGTTTAGTAGTGTACATATCAAACACGAAGCTCTTTTGTGGAAAGGACGAGCGCGAGCAGACTATCAGGTAGACTCTACGTAGAGTCCAGATGGATAGATTAGGGTCTCTCTAGGCGTTTGGCTTGGAGTTTGAGGTTAGATTGTACCGATTGAGCTGCGCCCCTTTCTCATCTGAATGTTTGCCGCGTAACGCTTTCAGGAGGGGTAGTTGGCAGACCGGATTTGGGTGGTGACCACGAGACCAGTAATGAAAGGGCTTTGCGAGGGATTTTGATGGTGTGATTGTGGGTGATGGATTTGATCAATATTGTATTATTTGTATTAGATGATATTCTAAGCAAAATCCAATGATTTTTTCTTGTCTGGTCAATACGAGAAGATGTCGATGCTAAAAGTATTGAACCTATTTATGGAAAATAATAATAATGATCTATTGAGTTAAACCTTAAAGGGGAAACAAAGCACCACGGCAACATGTCAAGTTCAAAGTGTTTGATTCGTAGAAGATCTCTAGAACGATTGGCGAATATCTCTATAAAGTCGTCGTACAACATATTTTTAGTCCTTCCGATGGGAGTAATTTAGATGCCGATTAAGGTTTCAGGGGCAGAGAATCATGAAGACTGATAGGTTGACTAAAACGATGGTCGACACGAGATGTGGCTCGAGGGATGGGATGGATGAAAAAGAAAGTGTTTATCCAAATGTGAGGGTTTGAAAATTGGTCGATGAAGGAGGGTTCATTGGCCTCGAAAGAATCATCATCGTTGGTTCACCAGTTGTAAATGGTTATGAGTGGTGTAGCTACCTATTCTTGTTGTTGTTAGACGTATCTAGATAGATGGAATGATATTCTCCTATTCTCCTATCCTATCCCCCTCCACATTATATGATGTGATAAGAATTTCATTCATTCCTATCTTCTTTTGAGTCTCTTCCCATCTCTCTTTTCAACCTACATTCAATGATAAACTAATAATCATTTTCATAATTTACATATTCATATCATTCATTCATTCATTCCCTCCCTCCATCACTTCTGCTCTCATCTCATGATAGGAGACTTTTGCCATCCAACCGACCCAATCATTCAATTAAGAATTAATTAATCAATTAATTAAATCGATTGCCTAATACTTTCCTACCCTCCGCTTCATCAAGATTTCATCCCGTGCCTCCATACCTCCTACCGATTTTGATATTGAATTGAATAGGAAGAAAGGAAAGGAGAGGAAAGGGTTGATTTATTACTCGTCGTCAATTCATCCATCCATCCATCCATTCAATCACACCACAATCGATTCAATACTACATTCTTTTCGTTCCAGAACATCCAAGGCTTACCTAGGTCCGGTACAGCTAAGGGGGGAAAAATACCCGACAACCAGTCACCAACCACACTCTTTTCCATATCAATTCAAGGAAACTTTCCCGTGAGCCATTCACAAAGCTTCTTCGTACACATTCGTTCAACCACCTTCCTGGAAAAGATCCCATCGATAGTGTCTCGTCCTTGGTGGTGCATATGCAATACATGTAGCTACTGCAATACAATATACTCCTACATCTCCCCACTCTTCCCAACCTCTTCATCCAAGCTATTCCCCGACCTTGATAACAACACGTCGAAGATACAAGGATCTGGGGGATTGACTCTCAGATATCTACTTCCCCATCACGAATTCAACCATTCACGCTTCGTCGTTCTACCCAGGATTTACCTTTTTGCGAATCATTGAGAGTTTGGAGGAATTAACTTTACTTGTGGCCATCACACTTTATGCAATCCGGTCTTCAATTCGCCTTCCAGTTTTGATTTCACTCTTCCTTACACCTTTGGGAAATCTGCCAATACTTTGATTGTCTTACGCTCGCTCAAAGAATATCCAGAAACTTCTCGTTGATCCTCGGATAATTATAACAATTGCTGGCTTGAAATAAACCTTTTCTTTGTTGTACGAAAAATCAACAATTAAAATACTCAAGTACCTTCCCTTCGATCCCGAACAATCCGCATACAGCAAATACACGAACAATTCCACGAAAGCAATTCACTATTTTCCAACATAAACCGCCAATATGAACGTCGGCAAGAAATTTGGTAGAGTCAAGCAATGGGCTGGAGAGAAGATGGGACAAGAGTCCAAGACTGAAGTTTCGGATGAATTCAAGTCTTTGGAGGGAGAAATGCAAATGAGACATGAGGGTACGGTCTGCCATATTTCGATTCATGAATCATTCTAATATCTACCAGGAATGGAAAAGTTACAAAAGTCCATGACGATTTATGTCAAATCACTTTCGAAACGAAATGAAGGAGATGACAGGGAAAAGATCTTGCCAGTAGCATTCATGGGACAAACAATGATACATCATGGTGAAGACTTTGAACCGGATTCCGAGTTTGGAAATTGCCTCATTGGTAAGTAGATTCCCAGAATTTATATGAGAAAATGGCTAATAAGGGTATAGCTATGGGTAGAACGAATGAGAGAATTTCGAGACAGCAGGATACATATGTTGTGGACGCAACTTCGAGTTGGCTCGAGTCCTTGGAGAGATCTTTGGCTCAAATGAAGGAATATCAGGTTTGTATAATGTGGCATGTCTATATACGCAATATCTAATTTTTCAAAGTCTGCCAGGAAGAAGCTCGAACAAAGACGATTGGCGTACGATGCCTCCCTTTCCAAGATGCAAAAGGCAAAGAGAGAAGATTTCAGAGTCGAGGAAGAACTCAGATCACAAAAGGCGAAATATGAAGAGTCTAGTGAGGATGTTTACAGAAGGATGCAAGATATTAGAGAGGCAGAGGCGGAAAGTGTTCAAGATTTGGGAGCGTTTTTGGAAGCCGAACTCGAATATTACGACCGTTGTCGTGATGAACTTTTGAAATTGAAGAAGGAATGGCCAGCTGCGTAAGTCACTAACGACATATGCGAATTTTCAGAGACTGACATTATATTAGACGAGGATCAGCGGCACAACCACCACGTCAACCTAGACGCCCAGAAGCACGACCTCGTTCAAATACAGCTCATTCATACAGTGAGAGATACTCCACATATGAAGAACCTATCCCAGAGCTAGAAGCGCCACGTCCATCTATCCGATCCAATACTCCTCGTGTTAACACAACTCGGGTTGCCTCGACATCAGGAATTGGTAGAAGAGAGGATCGAAGAGAAGAATATTCCCCTCCAAGTTCCCCACAACGTCCATCAATCGGACGATCATCCACATTCCAAGGTCCAACAACTCATTACCGCGAATCTCCTTCCTCAAATCGTCTTAATTCTTCTCTACCTCCTCCTTCAGATGCTGGTTCTCTACGCGCATCTTTAAGACCAACTGCCAGGACTAATATCATTTCAGCTGATTTGTTCAATGATCCGAGTGATGATTCAACTCTTAATAGCAATAGTCCAGATAGATCATACGGTGCAAGATCAGTTAGTCCAGCTACTAGTCATGGTAGTAATTCTACGCCAAACTCGAGAAGAGCTCCACCACCTCCTCCCAGCAGAGCCAAGAAACCGGCTCCTCCTCCTCCTATGAAGAGAGCGGATATGACTTCAGTTAGTGTCAATAGTCGTTATTAGGCGATGTCATTGTTGTTTGAGCGGTAGTACATACATAACGTGAACATTTTTCGTTCAGTATTTCGGACGATTATGTTGTTCACTTCTTTGCACATACAATTTCTTTTCTATAGTTCCTTTCTTTTGTCTTCTTGTTTGAGTGAGAAGAATGCTGTATGTGGATAAGCAGAGGTCGTTTCCATTCAGTAGGGATACGGGATAAGGAGAAATAGTAGGAGTAAAACAAAGATCGAGTTTTTCAACAAGTGCAAAAAATACCATGGTAGTTCAGGGTTGTTTTAAATTGATTTGGGTCTTTTCACTTGTTTGTCTTTTCCGGGCGTTATTTTTTGGAAGAGAGCAAATAGGAATAGGTTATGGATAGATCTGAAGGGTTGAATGGGAGAAGGAAAATTGGAGAGTGTGCGCTAGCTGGTATAGTGATTGATTGCTAAGATGGTCATGAGGGAAAGCGGTATATGGAATCACTATGCCTTAGTACGGAGTATACATACAAACTGAAATGAGGAGATAAATGATACATAGAGAACAGGGGGTTAGTGGATGAAACGTTGGTGGTGTGATGGCAGTGAATAGCGAAAAAATACTAGGACTTAGGTATGAAATAGTATTTTATGGATTGAGTTTCTCCAATTTTTATGTTTTACTGGAAACTTATTTCTGTGTTCATGATTCTTTGGTGACATCGAGGTTATGAACCTCTGGGTTCGAGATGTATTCATACGATGTATGTGTGCATTCTAACTCATTCATTCCGGAAATTCTCACGTCAAGTGACTTATGTTGCGAGATTCAATAATAATGGGCCGCCCTTAGGACGCCGAACAGTGTTCGAGTCTGGAATATGTGGGCGTGGGTTAGTTCGTATGGATTGTTAAAGCGGTAGCCGCTCGATATGGAAATGTGGAAGGATGTATGTATGAAAAATTGGTCTAATTCTGCTCTGGATATTGTGTATGGGTATGATCACACATGCGGCATACAGCTAAGCAAGCCATTGGTCTACACGGAATACTCGGTATATCCTCAAAACTCACAGCACTGCGCTCTGTACACTTTGAGACCGTTCCATTGCGACTGCTCAGAGAATACCTAGGTATTCCAAGGTTCTTAGCCTTTGGTGGCTGTGTGTGGCTGTGTGACTTAGAGATTTGGATCGACGAGGCTGAACGAGTAATGCTTTCTTGGAAGACCGTGTCAAATCGCATCATGTCGACTTCTCCCATCTTCACCCTTCTGAACACCATCAAAAAGGCGAGGAGTTGAAGCAAAATACAACTGTGATACTGGATGTGGGACAGCTCGCGGCGCACCGGTTGCGCATACCCACGGTACACGCAATGAGACTGCTGAAGTCTCTATTCCTTTTGTACAACTGAATCCGACAACCAAGAACACAATGCTGCAAAACTAGTGTCGAATCTTCGCGTTTCCCATACGAAATCACGAATATGGAGTTGATCATTAATCATCCTGCTCGTTGATAGTCATGGAGTCATGATTTGATTTGTATCCATACTGTAGTTCGTTCTGTGTTGATCATGAGTCTTCACAGAATTGAAATCATCAACTTTTGGGTTTGAGATGTGTGAATCTGGAGTCGATTGTTACTCCGCTGCTTAACACTAGTCATGGAATCTTGGGTTTGAAGTGTATTCATGGTTCATTCTTCTATGAATCATGAAATATTGTGCCTTTCGAGTCACAGCCCCCATGTTCTGAGGCACACTCATACCAACTAATTGTATTAATCATGAGGAAGTATGAGCTTGACAGAAGAAAAATGGTCGATTCGGTACCTCGAAATGCGCTTAAATAGGTTAGGATGTCCTCCTTTGAGAGACCTTTCTTCTTCCTTGTGCATCCTCTACTTTGAAGAGAAAATCGTGATATCAGATACTTCCAAGGTTCTTTTGAATAGGACACACAGTTGGAGATTGTGCGGTTTAAGATCATACATATTGCCATCACATACTCGTACTCTCACACGTCACTCTTGCTCTCGATTTTGATAACGTCATACAAGAACCGCTTTATCGCACCTCGAAATTGCACCTTCAACAACTTCACCGTCACTTCCTTACACTTTTTCGTCGCATACTCTGCTATCATACACTCGACACAAAATCATAAACACCACTCTCGACAAGCCATACAATCATTCCTTTTTGAGACCATTCTCAAGTCGTTTTTTATTGCGACGTCGAAAACATCTTATCATTCCTAACCAACACGATTGAAAATAATCCAGGGATTCGCTGTCAAATCAAAGCTTTACCCTTCATCACCGTCTTGGTATTCGCTTTGAGTTTTTGAGCATTTCGACTTTTGGTTACTTGAAGGTCAGGATTTCTAGTGCTCGTCAATAATGGGTACCCCAGATTACACTCATCATAGAGGCCGCCCTCGTCGCCATAATCCTCCTCCCCCCGGTATTGCACACCCACTATATCGGGCCTGGAATAAAGAAATTGAAGACGTAGCGGTCTTCTTTGCATTTGGCTTGCGCCGCCAGGATTACTTGGATCCTAATAAGGATTGCGGCCAAATGGCGAGCGGAGGATGGGAGGCTTTAACATGTTTGATGAATGAGCTGATCACGATAAACAATTATCAGTATGAACCATTGCATACTAGATTGTTGCGTAACAGGTTCGACTCCTCATTTAAGAAAAGAGCACTTAATCAGCTTAAAATGACTTCAGACTTACCAATAACACCATCTGAAAATTGGGTTCGCAAAGAATTCTTGGACATCGTTTTAAGCTACCCTACAATATTTTCCTGAATCCCCAGTCCCAGGAGCCTGCACATCGGCTTCAACGACGCCTGATAGGTGCAGGATGTGGGGAGGCCTGGAAATCGAAGGTATAAAGAAAGCAACACAAGCGATAAAACAGCACAACGATCATAATAATGGTATTACGTTTACCCCGCCGCTCCCATCAGAGAATTTCTTAAAAAATGCAGAATTTCTTTCCGAAAACCAAAGTACTTTGGAGACTTATAATAACTTTCGAGCACAAGGGCCAGATCATCGCCCAGCAACTCAACAACAGGTCGGTCAATCTCAAGCATCGGCTCTTCAACCATACGGTGCTCAACAGGCTGGTGGTTTCATGGGTGGCTATTCACAGGGTTATGCAAGTGAACAACAACCAATTCATTCTACAATTCATCCTGGTTATCATACTCAATATCAAAAAAATCAGGGTAGTTATTCAGATAGTCAATTAGGGGCTCTGCAACCTTCTACAGGTCAAATGTCGGCTACTCAATCACATGGTGCTCAACAGGCTGGTGGTTTCACGGGTGGCCATTCACAGGGTTATGCAAGTCAACAGCAGCCAGCTTATTCTGCTCATCGTACCCAGTATCAAGAAAATCAGGGTAGTTATTCAGGTAGTCAATCGTGGGCTATGCAACCTTCTACAAATCAAATATCAACTACTCAATCATACATAGGTCAACCGTCTGGTGGGAATACGGGCGCTCATTCATATGGTTATCAAAGTGGCCAAAGTGGTCAAGGAAGTCAAAGTGGTCAAGGAAGTCAAGGTGGACAAGATAATCAGCATTATTATTACCAAGGAAGTGGTCGCTAGGTAAAATTTCCAACGCTACCATACATTTTACCCCTGATATCAATATCTTCCACACCCTCTAACTTTTCAATAGATTGTACGAGATTCAAGAATAGGGACGGCGCTTACAGTTTGGGAGTCATATCGCCGTAGTACAAAGGGTAGCTTTAACAAACTTTCTTATCTTTTTCATGTCAATTCATGATGGTTCACTAAAATACTGACTCTAGACAGAGAAGACGGGGGCTTCTAGTCTGTCCATTTTTGTATGCCGATGGTTGTATCACTCTCAAAAATCTTTCTTATTATTTAATAGGTTGTATGGACCACAGCGAGGGACAGCATGTTACAGGTTTTAGAGTGTTTGGCGTCAGAGTTTCAGGAAGATACTTCAAAAGCAGTTGGCTTTTATAAATCGTTGAATTATACGCGTCCAAGGTTTAATGTGCAAGTCTTCTACAAGTTAGTGATATGAATCCTAGAAATATAAACTCGATAAGGATTTCTAAGTTAGGTAGGTAAAGTGGTCGACTTGTCCCACTTTTCTGCTGTCATTCATTTTTTCAGATTCCAGTTAGGTATTTCCTGCACTTCTTGCTTTCCTGGGAAAGCCATTTGGCGGAATCATGTACAGAGACATTTTTGAACCTTCGAACATGCCCCTTTTGCTTATATTCTTGTATCAAATAGATTTATTATATCCTGACGTCAAGGCCTGGAAAAGGGAATGGAGAATCAAGGAAGAAGAGCTACTCGTTCAACTGATATAGAGTTTGACATGCAAAAATTTAACATAATGAGAGGCTAGACTCGAGAAGCGGACCGGCAGTAGCAAAGGTGATGGAAGGGTTGTGTTCATCTGGCAGTCATCTGCATTTTGATAGAGCACGAACTTCGCGCGATGTTTGAAGAAGATAATTTGATTATTAGAAGGGGGCTTAGAGAGTGATAACTATGACAGCGAGGAGACAGTATATATTACGATAGGACTGTCTTTGATAGTCAAATGCATGATTAGTCGAGGTGTTGGTACGGCGTCTATCAAAAGGAGAAAGTATTTAATATCAAGCAACGCTAGTCGAGACTGGCTTTGAGTATAGTTTACGATGATGCGGAAATAATCTTCATAGATCAAATTGGGTCGTATGATAATGTACTAGGTGAGCGATTATCAGAGAGCTGAGAACAAGCTTGAACGTCGAGATCAGAGGACGATAGACTAGCATTAATGTGGAATCTGATATTAGCAGTCCATTACTGGATTCAATTTCTCTATTTGACAGCCCTCTACTTAAAGTGCTTCATACTCCAGAACTCATCAACACATGCTGATCGTCAACAATCGGATTTTGTTAGCTCATCTCCAATTTGATTGGAACGTTTCGATATTTATTCCCTTGCCGTCATTAACAACTATTTAATCTGATATTGAGCAAAAAATACTCGAAATATTATATCTTTGCACTGATGCTAGACCGCGATCTGACGGGATGGTAGCTGCTTTCTAATATATTCAAATAGTACGAAATTCTTTTCTTAGAACTAAAAGAAAAACAGGTAATCCAATTTCGAGGGCTAACAGACAAGCAAAGTACAGACGTTAATTACCAAATTCCTAATCTCATCCCTTGAGAAAGCAAATAAAACAAACCCAGACGCCAACCAACAAATCATCTATCTTCTACTAGATCCCCCTGCACGGCTTCTGGAACGTTTATCATGAGTTTTTCCACCTGATGATTTCTTTTCCTTCTCCCTCGCCTCAAGTCCCTTTCTCTTTTCCTGTCTCTCAATTCGATCTTTCAGAATTTGGCTTTTAGCAAGGTTAGGATGCTTGCTTATAAAATCACTAGTCAGTACTTTTGAGGCAGCTTCCGACCTTGTCCCTCTCTCCCTGCTCCATTTTTCTAGACGTTTCATCAAATCCTCAATTGTTTCTGCATCGCGCGCTTGCAGACTCCATGTTTTGAATTCATCTCCAATGATCTTTTCAAGTCCCACCATATCTGAACAATCCTTGTTGTCTCTGGCGAGGGCACCCTGATACTCAATTTCTAGGTTGATATGGTCTCTGACGCATATGGTCGTCGGTGGCGAACGTACTTTAACAGATGCCACCATGGTGAAAGAATGTGGTTCTCGGTGCTTGTTGATGGGTGAATGTGAATGTGATAATTGAAGATAGAGTGATACCTACCTAGGTAGATAAAGGAAGTTTGTCTGGTGTGTGGTGTTGAGGTGAATTGATTTGAGGAAGTTCAGTAGATGATTTCTTATCTCTTATATAGTTTCAGTTACATTCCCAGCATCTAGGCATCAGGGTCTCGGTGCTGGACCTATTGCGAGTCTACAGAGGTTTGGGCATTGCAGCTATTCGGAGATTGTCCGAATACCAAAATGTATTTGTCTGCCTTAACAGCACGTGATTATGATGTTAAAATGTCGACAAATGTGTATTTAGGCCTGCCTAGATTGGGGTCTCTGCGGCGGCTCAGTGCCTATATAGACGCCAGGAACTCAGATAATCACGATCCTTTGACCCGTGTCTCCGTAGTTGAAAAAAAAAACAGCTTGTATGGAATAATGTAAAAGCAATTGATGAAGACAAGAACTTTGAGGATCTAGTAGCTGATCGCAATTATAGTTAGCTTTCTAGTTTGCCCAACTCATCTACCCAGGTAGATAGATATTCACGTCGCATTAGGTTCGCTTAATGAATCTTTTCAAGTCTTATGCAAGCTTACTTAGATACTTTCTTCTCAATAAGCTTTCTTACATTAGTCTTTCAACCCCCTATAAATCTATATATTTCATTGATATGTAATAAAAATGATTGACCTCACGTGAAAACACGCAGATTGGCTCGCTTATTCCACAGGATTGTCTGTTAAGGTTACCCGACTAGCCGACTTTTCCCCGCCCACAAATGGCATGTTTGCAGAATATATTTGCAAAAAACCACTGTCTTACAACAATAACAGAAAGGGCTTGTGGTTTAGTGGTATAATGTTCCCTTAGCATGGGAGAGGTCCGGCGTTCGATTCGCCGCTAGTCCAATTTCTTTTTGCCTTTTTTTGTCTCTAATATCTCTTCTTTATCGTTGGGACATAAGAATACCTACTTGCGAGGATGTTACTAGTATCATCGTAACACCAGAAGGTTCTTCTTTTGCTCTCCTTCCAGTCCTTCCCACTCTGTAAGCTTCAGTGGGAAAGTTCCTGATCACGAGCCTTCAAGTTTCTTGAGAGTCGAGACGAAGAGGATCTCAATTTTGGTGTGTGAAGTCCGTATATTGGGAATTTGCGTTGCTTTGTCCGGAAGCCCGAACCTAAAAGAGACGAGTGGCAAAGTAAGTTGAGTAACAACTTTCACGAAGTCGTGACCGACTATAACCTACATTTTTGGGCTCAAATCTACTGTCCATGCAGCCTTTGCCTATGATCTTTATAGTACGAAGATTAAATGTCAAGATTGAAGTTTGAAGACTGTGATTGCATCTATCCAATGTTTTTGTTTTCCTTGCAAACGCACCATTGAACCGGATTCGGGTTTACCCCACTTCATCTCATCGACTCAAGTTCCAAGTGAGCAATTCTGATCCGCCATGAATATTTCCACGTTTTGATTCTGAGCAGTGAGTTATTCATTGAGAGACCTAGGCATGATAGTATTTGTCGTATCTCAGAAAAGTTTCATCTAGAGTCTTCTTGAATCATATACCTCTTGTACACAATCCCACCATTACCATTATGGGAGTACTCTCGAAATTAGTATACGTAACAAAGGTTTACCGCCTTCTCGCGGTTTAGTCAACTATCATTACAATACAAGCCAAAACTATTATTGCCTTCCACTTGCTAAGGTCTATTGCTGTCTATGAGTAGCCAATGGCTTTGATTTTTTCGGATTTTGTTTGTTTTGTTGCACGTCTTAAATTCAATAGTTCCATTTAGTGCTGCATAATTTTCAATAGTGTGAAATCCACCTCACTACAGCATAGTGGTGTAGGATTCTTTTCTTTACTTGTTTATTTAGAAGCAGAAAGGAAGTTTCGGACCTTCTGAGATGAATCAGAATCGTTTGTTTCCATACGAGATTCACTGTGTCAACTGCCATTATCGGCAGCAATGTTGGTTGATAAATATATTGAATATTCTCCAGATGAGAGGTCAGCAAATTTGGATGTCAAATTTTTATTCTGATATCGGCCCCGGGAAGACTAGGCTTGAATTTTGCTTCGTGGAGGATAGATCCTGTAGGATTGTTCACTTGGAAATATATATGAGTAGTGCCCACGAGTGAAGGACATTATCACAAGTGAGAGGGAGGGGACCTCGTTTCTGTGCTCTCATCCCTCGATAAAGGCCACAAAAATAAGAAAACGTTGTGCTTCTATGAACAAAACTGCAAATTGCTAGTAGCGATTGTCACTTGCGATTTGGAATACATCGTACTCGTGATTCTTAGATCTGTAGTACCGAATATGCTCAAACCCGATGAACTTTACGATTCTCTGATATACAACTAAGTCGTTGGCTTGAGTCAGGACTCTCTTAATTATTGCTATATTCCAGTATAAGTATCTTACAGTTCAGTAATAGTTTAAATCCTGCCTGAAGTAAGTTGAATTGGGGCTTTCCGGGGTATATTCATTGTTGTTTGGAAGTCATTCATGAATTTCACATGGAAACCAGAATCTATCCGGTTTAAAAGGTAGCAAGCAACTCTGGTTGAAGCTAATAGACAAACACGCAAGTCTACTAATAGGCGTCAATTAGCAGATTCAACGGCTATAAGTCTCGTTCTGTTGAGCTTTGTGAGAAGATTATTGCAAAGTTGGAGTAGTTTATTTGAGATCGCCTCTCGAGGTATCGATGCCGCCCGGGTTCGAATAAAGCAGCTCGCAAACTGGGGCTCGCCGAGATGGATGCCCATTCCTCACGGCCTCATAGAAATATAAACGTTGGCTTTCGCCGGCAGACCGTTTGTTCTGGGGAAAATAGTTTGATCCACATCTGACTCGATCACAACCCCACCCCGAGAAGAGAAAAATCTATTCACCCCACCAAGATGAAATCAGATCCACTGCAAGCCCTGACGCACAGACTTCGCTTAGACAAGCCTGTTTCTCACAATCCACTGGCACAAACGTCTCTGTTCAAACATCGAAAAAAGAATCAATTAGCAAAAGAACGTCTCAAGGAGATGATCGTTGTTGGACTAGCGGCGAATCGAACGCCGGACCTCTCCCATGCTAAGGGAACATTATACCACTAAACCACAAGCCCTTGTTGTATTTGTTGAGGAGGCCAGTCGAAAAATTCTATATATTGCACAAACAACATGGCCATAACATCTAAGAAGATGATATGCATTGCTCTTGATGGATCAAAGACTCGCCATCGAGCGCGAAGATTACTGCAGGTGCACCATGGTATCATTACTATCGTCACTGTTGTTGTTGTTGTTGTTGTTGTTGTTGTTGTTGTTGTTGTTGTTGTTGTTGTTGTTGTTGTTGTTGTTGTTGTTGTTGTTGAGGACATTCGAATGACCAGTACGCATATTTGAAAATTGACGTCTTGGTTGAAAGCTCAATAATTGATGTCTGTAGTCAGATGCATACGCGATCCAATAAGCTTTTATTTTCACCTATAATCATCCTACACACATACACACACATATGAATAGTCTCTCTGATGTATCTAGTTTGAAATCCGAGGAAAAGGTTCATAAGTACAATCCAACTTCACTACTTGCCCACTTGGTGTCAAGGCCTTTGCTTATCCCGAGAAAACACGATGAGGTTAATTATATATAATCTTGTATCATTACATCAAAAAAACCGAAGACAATTGTATGCAGTATGCAGGTGACAGTCTAAAAGTTATGGACGCCAAAGTCGATTTCGAGTATTACATACACCCTGGTCCATTAGCTCGTCTAATCTCAAAAGAAAAAGACAAGAGTGAGCTGATAGATGGAACATGAAAGATCAAATGATTGACCACTCTTGCATTTTGAGATTGGTATATATAGTCCGAAGCAGTCCACTTTTTCCTATACAACACAAAAATTCAAGCGGCTTTAGCTCACTTGGGAGAGCGCCAGACTGAAGTCCACTTCAGCCTATTAATCTGGAGGCACTGTGTTCGATCCACAGAAGCCGCATTCTGCGAGTTGAGGCCAACCTCAACGAAATTTCATTTTGCAATTTTTGAAGTTGCTCCATTACACTAATCGCAAGCCCCTCTGAACTAGGGATGGGCAAATTACACATTCTTAGGGTTGATTATATAATTTCATATTATCACACTTTTTGAGGCATATAAAATATTATGCCAAGCTTATGCACGTGTTTTTTGGACCAATAAAATCATCAGGATGAATGAAAGTGGGTTGTTTTTAGAAAAAGTTTTTCGTGGGTTGTAATTTTCAATTTAGTGTATAATTAGACCTAAAAGTCAGGTGCTATTTATTTGCTAATCATGTGATTTATATACTAATTATTTTCTTTTCAAACTAGCTCCAAAATAGCTTCAAAATAGCCTTTTATAGGATTTCTATAGGATTTTATAGGATTTTATGATTAGTTATATATATAATGCGATTTGACTAATATTACGTATTATATTCAACTGACGAATATGCGATATTATATATCATCGAAAATCCCAACCCTACTCTGAACCCAGTTCCCCACTATCAAAATCAATCGCCTGGAATCCCTGCTATAATGACCCCACTCGGCTAAAAATTTCTTTTTTAATTTTTCTCTTCGAACATCTAAAATGTGTTAATAAATATATAATTCTATGATCGACGTGTCTTTTATAAATCCAAGGCCGGATGGTGTAGTTGGTTATCACGTGTCCTTAACAATTAACAGTTGTTAAAATACGGACAAGGTCCTGGGATCGTGCCCCAGTCTGGTCATTATTGTTTTGCTGGTTTTGTCTCTGGAGGCTTGAGATTTCATACATTTTTTGGGCACTAGCCTTCTTTTTGTGTCTTTGCGGTCTGTAGGTATCCTGTGGAGTTGTGAAGTGAAAAAGGGTGTGGAGAGCAAACTCGTGTGGAAAAGGGGCTTAGGGTCTCGAGATGATAAGAAGAGTGTTGCTCCATAAAAAAGTGCGAACAGTTTCATAAGCTAGGTATTTGACAAAACAGACGCGTTTATTTGGTGCTACCTATGCAATCACTGACTTTTGTGCTCTCTCTGTATATATTTTGAGAATAACAAACAACATCTTTGAATTCGACTGGCTCAAGTTGAATTATATGGTGGTATTCATGTTTGAGAGGGAAACGAAAATAGAAAACCATTTGCTCGCACACTAAAGATAGAGATAAGTTGCATGAACAATTTATTGAACATGACTCCTTAGTTCATATAATCGTTATCGAAGTGGTTTCCTTGACTGATTCAAATGGATCTAGCCTGCTGTGAAGTTGAGTGAGTCCACTCCGTCTGAACTTAATATCGCCGCCAATGGAACGGGGTTGCTCTTCAACTCGCTGCAATATGAGAGCTATCCCTCGCGGTTCCCAGCCGATTTCCTTTTGATGTGATACCTGTAACATGTATGTCTCTCCGTGTCCATATTCTGGCTGCCAACCATCGACGTCTAGATCCCCTTCCTCGTAGTAGTGGTTTGTAGAAAAATTTGAAACTGCTTCTCCTAAATTCAATTTCAAGATATGGTCTTCGGTATAAAAGTCTCGGATGTCTCCGGCTAGCATCAACTTCCCACGGACTCTGAGTTTACCAGATGATATTGCCCCATACGGATTGACACCTTCCACCATACAACTGATATCCTCAATAGTAAAGGAATCATCAGCACGTTGATCTGGGATATAGAAGGTGTTCATGGCTCGACCATTATTAGTACTTTGACATACGACTGACGCCCATGACCATGTTGGTGCTGCAAATTTCTCTGGTCTTTTCTAGGAACGAGTGCCTCTGAAAAAATACCAAAGAAATCCCCTTGAAGATAAAGAGCCGTCAATTTTATGAATCTTCCACAATCCAGCAACATATTGAGGATCATGCGAATCCTCAAATCCCTGTGATGAAATTGACTTTGATAATTGATTCAGAGCTTCGAAAGTGCGGCTTGCGATTCCGGAGAGTGCGGGCAGTCGATCTTCTTCCTTCGTTAACTGAAGAACGGCATAGTTTTCGATATTCGAATACCAGTCGTCAAGAATTTTATTGGGCTGTTGTTCATTGTCCTTATATAGCAGCGAACGTATCCTCGCGCCATCTGCAGTGATCACCCTCGTTGAGTTGTGTTGGGGAAGTTCTGATATTTTTGTGCATTCGCACCATCTTTCTATTCTACATTCCCATACTAACTCTGTCGCGTAGAAGCTCACAGTTCTGGGGGATAAAATGCGCTCTTGGTACACCCATCCTCGCGTATTGAGCGGTGCCATAGATTTCCCATTCCCGTGGAAGAGAGAATGTCTATCATGAGTTGTGCTTAAACTAGGTCGAGTAAAGAATGGTCCGCTGCCCTCTAGTTTATGTGCCAACCCTGTCTTATCAAGAATCTTGAGCTCTTCGAACGGTGGTATGGTTTCTTGCACTCCGCTCCCAGGATACTCTGCATGTAGCTGTGCGAGCCGGGTGTTGAATAACCCAGTCTGGCTGTCCCGTCCATGCGCAGCCACTATATTTAAAAGGGAGCCAGAATATATATCAGCCATTAATGCTGATTGTCGTTCCCAATCAGCAACATCATCCTGTATAATACAGATGGAATCAATCCATATGTATTGTATGTTTAGTCTGTGAGTGAGTAGTACCGCATCCCGAGATGTTCGGGAGAGTGTCAATATATTAATGCCATTGGCGTGTGCACTGTAGTTGTCCAACCTTGTTTTGATAAATTGAGCCGATCCCCAACAGTGGCTTAATGTGATATACTCGATCGGACGATGTTTGTCAATTGTTATTGATTCCACTAGCCGAGTTTGGCTCTTTGAAATACACTGTTTTACATCGAGAAGGCGATTTGGAATTGATAATTCTGATGCATCAGCACACTCTTCTCTATGGCTTATACGGCATCTTGATAACCATGAGCTTATGATGACTAGAGCGCTTTCCAAATCGAGATTTGGAACGATATGTTGTGAAATTTTGAATGAATGTAATGGAGCACTTCTAGGAGACTGGCGTGGATTATAATCTGTATTAACTGATCAGCGTATATCTATGTTCAGTCTGTTTCTACCACAATGTATTACCAGGTACTTGATAAATTTCCAACTCTTGACATTCATCATCTGTCAACGACGAATCATCAAATAAGATCTGTATGCTATTGCCCGAAATTGTTGCTCTGACTATCTCCTCTCTCATCACATGCCTATCTCGGCGGATATACTGGAGCACTCCATCATGGATAATTCGACATCTTCTGCAAAGACTACAAATTTTATTCTGGGATGATAAGCTGAAGTCTATGTATATATGATAAAAAACGAGAGAATTCGAGTGGCCTAATTGGCGCGCAGCGCAGGAGGAACAGGACATCTTGTTTGGGATGAAGATACTATACAAATGGATGAGGAATACTTGAGCAGCTCCTCGAGCAAGAGAAAGCAAATCGATTTGAGTGAAGCATAGCCATTATTGAAACATAAAAGATTCGGGGATTGTGAAAATTCACTCCAAGATTTAAGAATTATTCAGCCTTGTATGACAGTGAACACGTGCACCAATAGAGTCTGAGAATTCCCGACCAATCGACCGAGTGTTTCTCGCATTCTCTCTAGAGATGGAAATTGTGTGTGATATATGATGGAAGTGTCTGCAATATTATTTCCTACAGCCATAAGTGAATTGGGTAATACAGTATGACGTAACAAGGATCAGTATACTATTCGGGCTATCAGAGACTATCGATCAAGGAGACTGTAAGCACGTATTCTGATGTTGAAATGCTTTGAAAGATGTTCTAATCATATTTGCTCGAATTAGCATTGTTAATTCTACTTAAATACTTAAATGTTCGGTCTCCCGATTATCCAATTTAAGTAGAAGAAAGAGGCTTCTTGCTCATAGTCTGCTTAAAGGCTTGCAACGCCAAAGCAGGGGTATAATAAGGAACCTCATGGCCAGCCCCAAAGACTCTCAACCAGCTCAAATTACCAACAGTCTTGAAGGTTCCTCCAGCAACACCATTTACATTATAGTTTGCAACGGCAGCAGCGTTGAAAGCGGTGGAGCTAGCATAGGTGATAGCATTGGCGGTTGCAAGACCACCGAACCAGTTGCAAATCCAATCAGCGTCACCAGCCCAGATGAGGACTTGAATACCGGATTGAACGACTGTAGAGAGAGTTGAGAGGAAAGATCTTGAATCTGTTTTGATGTTCATTAGCCAAGCGAGAAACACTAAGGATGAAGGGGTAACTGACCATCTCCAGTAGCAGCAAATTTCTCATAAGGAGCATCTGGACACTCAGAATAGGTAGACTTGGCACCAATGGCCTTCACAACTGCTGCGCTTTGCAAATATGCAACATAAGTCTCTGGTGGATATGGATCATTCGATGGCTCTCTAATATCGTAAACATCAAAGTTGCCATTTGAAAGTGGCCCCTCGATATCATCGTAACAAACATCATCAGCATTCACACAAGCTGAGTTGGTACCAGTGGTCGATGTACATTCTTTCAAAAGAGGAAGACATGACTTGGTATATGTATTGAGATAGGATGTGTGTTGAGCAGCGGTGATGAGTGGTTTGTATGTGTTATTGTAGGAGTAGTCGACGTATGCCTTATAGGAGATGATAGGATCATACCATCCGTTGTTAATACCTAAAGCAACGAGATCAATTTTTTCACCAGCAATAGTGCCAGCCGCAATCTTGGCATTTTGTTGTTCGAGATAGTATGCAAATTCTGGTCCATAATGTCCACCATAGGATTCTGTGAAGATACCAAAGTCGCGATTCTCGTAGGCGGGGAAGGAGGCATAGAAAGCTTGGAGAAGTGTCCAGACGTACGGAGCAGCGGTAACAGTGGAAGTCACAGAATCTGTACCGTAGGAGAAGCCTACCCCAATCGGTTGATCAATGTAGATCATGTTTGCGAATTCGTTGAAACTGTATGGGTTGAGAGATGGAGTTGATGCCCCGTTGTAGAATTGGCATGGACCATTCTCTTGGAACAACCCAATCATAGAAGAACATCCAGGGCCTATCTCTTTGTTAGTAAAATGTAGCTTATAATGAAGAATATTGCCTGTACCTCCGTTGAACCATGTCGCTAGTGGCGCGGTGGTTGGACTGTTTCGACTTTCAAAGAACCAGAACCACATATTCATACCCTAATATGGATGTCAACATTGGATTATTCTTTGAAGAATATGCCACACTTACAGTTCCGACAGTCAAATATCCGGAATACTGGTTCACACCTGGCGTAGTCTCGCAAATGCCAGAGTTTGTAACAAATGCAAGTGTAGCATCGGTGGCGGCATGATAGAAGACAGTATGATTGACTCCATCACGAATCTCGAATGATCGCTTGTCTTTCTTCCCTTCAGTGGTAGGGGCAGCTAGAACAGCCGGAAGAAGACAAGCAACTAGGGAAAGCGAAGGGAAACGCATTGTAATCGTAGTCGAAGAATGGAATTGGAGATGGTTTAACAACTACAAATCTTAATCTTCGCGATTTCCCTCGAACTTATATCTTGTTTCCCATCACTCCACGGCCACCCCATCTCAATGCCCAACGCTATTATGCGCTCTACGACTGGAAAATCGAGATACACACTCGGAGATCATTCCAAATAAAGTAGGTCTATAATTTCAGGTACGAGAAAACTCTCAAAAGCTTAAATCCCCGCCGGCACTAGAGGGTAAAGTTGAAGAAACCTGGACGATCCTGGAAGGTAATCTCACAAGGTACTCCAATTGCCGTTGATAAGACCAACGCATCTACCCCGTATACAACGGTTAACATCGCATAAATTGCAAAGTCCCGAACCTAGGCAGGAGATCCAACGGATATATGTATAACATGCAAGCCAAATGTTATATTTGAATGTCTAAATACCCCAAAAAGGCAGTTGGTGGTGGGCTTGGCAGCGAATGATAAGCTTTTCGTGGCAGAGATCTTTTTCCAGGGTGCCAGATATCGACATTCCTGTTTGGGAAGTTTTGGTGATTTAGTGGCGGAGGATGTGACTTGTCAAATAGATTGATGCTTGTACTGCAGATGAAGATAAAAGCGGGAGGACTGTGATGGAACCTCAATCGCGAATGTGGAAAATACCGCAGTAAACGACGCTCTCTTGAAGATGGATGTGACAACACGAAATATGTCAGACGAAAATTCTTGTGACATACTTGAATTGATTTCACCATCTTGAGATGTATGGCGAGCTCTTTCTCTATTGATTGAATGCATTGCTTGAATGAAGTTGAGAAATTGAGGTTCCCAATTTACAGGGTCCTCAGCACCAGCACCTTTAGCCGAGCATAGGCTCAGGGTCGTGCGAGATCCACCCGCCTTGGAAAATATTGGCTTCCGTTGGCAAAACGTGTTTGAAAACTTGGCCCTTGGCAATTCGACGACAGAAAAGACTATCAAAGTACTGCTTTGAAGTTTGATATAAAAGGGAAATGATTGTATATATTGGCATTTTTTGTTCTCTTCCTTAAGTCTTGTTACTATAGCAAAACCTCTCCATAAGGATCCCCCCTATAAGGATAACCTCTCTATAAGGATATGTTTTTCGGTTTCAAAATATTTTAGGCTTAAAAAAGGCCTATATCCTTAAAACCTGTTTATTAGAATATCCTTATATTTTTCGGTCTCAAAATTATATATATATCCTTATTGAACCAGTAAAATCATCAGGATTAACTATTATATTAAGATTTCCAAAAGATTTAATTGAAATTCTTAAAAATGTTACGGAATATATTCCGATCAGAATTAATCGGAAACAAACTGTTACTATATCGGAATTAATTGAATACTTTTATATAAGAATACCTCTATATATCCTTAAAAAAGTCTACAAAAACCGGTATCCTTATAGAGAGGTTTTACTGTAGTATCGTTGACGATAAGACACCCTGCACATTTTCCTTGTGTCTAGACGATGTAGACTTCACTTCCTCCCAGAATTCCCTGCGGATTTTGTCGTGATATTCCTGCATCTGCCCACAAAGTAAAGCTCCAATCGCATGTTCCAATTCATGCGTCGTGCACCTCACGTGAACTGTACACCTATGCAGGTTACTTCCGAAATGAGCAACTTGCGTTACTTCTAAAGATTCATTGTTAAATGTTGTGCGCGGAAACCGAGTCAAAATATGGTGGACAAAAGGAAGCGATCAATTGAAGCACCCAGATCCCCTTGTCAGCTTCAATACATTAAGATGAGTTAGGGACTTACTTGTACAGCTTTTTATAGACACTCAGAGCATGATCATTAATTGCAGACATTTTCAATAAAAGCAGGAATACGAAACAAATAATTCACAATTACAAGATTAAACTGCTTCGGAGTCCGGACCTCTCAAACATAACTCTGGTCCTAGCTCAGTGTCAGTGTGGAAATACGACCCATAAAACATGTGATAGTAGTCTGTCTACTGGGGCTATTGTAAACAGGAGGATGAGGTTCTTGAGTATTGCACATCACAAAAACAATGAAAGTTGAAATGAAGTAATTCTAT